TTTTAGCTAGTGTTTTGCTTCTTTTGGCTACTTTTTTCGTTATGTAAGGCCTTTAAGATAAGATATAAGATAGAACTTTATCAATCTAGCTAGTTTTGCACCTTTTAGCTAGTGTTTTGATCTTCTAGCTTTTAGCTAGTGTTGTGCTCATTTTAATTTTTAAAGCTGTTAGCTGCTTAAGCAAACTTCAGCAGTCTTTCAGCACTCAGCAGGCACTCTCCAGGTAAAAACAGCAGATTGTCTTGTTGCAGTGAACCTCTGCTGAGAGACTAAACCAGATGGCAAAGAAAAACAGACTTTGGGGGTGCTTGCCTTAAAAAAAAAAGGCTCCATCACTCCAAGGACTCCTCATTCGTGAGGCCAAACAGAGGTTGTCATGGTTACCTTGAAATTGTATACTTCCTGTCTGTCTGGGGCCTGTTGATTTATTGTACAAGCACACACAGCTCCAAATGGTCAGAGTCGGTTATCTAACAGGCAAAAGTCATCAACAGATGACTTCATTTTTAATTTTAGTTTTTAGCAAAATTCCAGTTTTGTTTGATGAAGAAGCTCAAAGTTCCTGGATTCAGACTTTAAAAGTTCTGATCCCTGAAAAAAAAAAAAAAAACACTTGAGGAGACTAAAACAAACAGTGAGCCCCGCTCCAAAAGCTGCCTGGACTTTCCTGGATTACACTGCAACGACAACACAGCGAAGTGGTTTTGATCATAACAAGCACAATGCTCCGCTCGTAGGAGATCACTCTTCCATTTAGAGTTCAAGCCAGCAGGATGACCCGTGATTTTATTTGTTAAGAGTCAAAAATGAAAGAAATAAAAACAATTAGACTGAAGGAATCGTTTTGACTTATTTACCTGTGTTTCTCCCTGTAAAGCAGCCTTTGCTTCTTACCACATCTTCAAATGTACCTAAACATCTGATCCGATCTGCCTCTGGAAACTGAATTATCAGGGTTTCTCCTTCAGCCATGTGTTCCAAGTTACCCAGCTTACTCTGTCTGCTGACTTTCATTATATTACTGTGCAGCAAATTAGTCAAAGCAAACAAGCAAAATGTAGAAATTGGCTCATGCATAAAATAATTTGTAGTTAAAAAAAAAAGTGTTTCCAAAATCTCTAGTCCATAAACTTCTGCAAAAGTGTTACCATCCTTTAAGAACACATCCATCCTGTGTTCACAAACCGCAACAAGCAATCAGGCAGGTGGGATCAACTTTACTATTTAAGCCCAGGAAAGCTCCTGAAGAGAAAATGAAGGGGATGTTTTTGAAATTAGCGAGACCTCACACAGAATAATGAAAGCCAGCTAAACAAATTAGTGTACCATAGGAGTAAATGTTTCGAAAAGGAACCGCTCTTTAAAAGAAAACCCTTTTAGGCATTTCTCCTCACAGGATTCCCAACAACTTTCTTTACCTCCCACACAGAGTTGTCAAAAAAACATCTATATGTTGAGTTGTGCAATATCAAATAGTTCTGATACTTAATTTAAAAAAGTAAAACTATAAGATCAAAGCAATCTTTGCAAAGCACATTGATGTGATGTCAGTAACAATTCAGTTCAGTGCAGTTTATTTATTTAGCGCCAAGTCACAACAGAAGTCGTCTCAGGGCACTGAACAGAAACATTCATATATACAAAATAATAATTTAACACTATTTATCTGAGGAGCAGACTGCTTTGAATTTACTCCATTGCAGAACTCTCATTTTGAGCAAGCATGAAGGCGACAGTGGAAAGGAAAAACGCCCTCATGAGGAGGAAACCTTTAGCAGAAAAAGATTCAGGACAAGCGGTAATCTGCTTCGACCGGCTGGGATTGAGAGGAACAGATACACAATGGCAGGTAAAGAATAACATGTTAAGATAGAAATAGTATCAAATGAAAACTACTCAATTTTAACGATTCAATTAAGGAAATTAGGTCAATTTGTCCTCCAGTAGTCTAAGCCTATGGCAGCATAACAAGCCAACCCTAACTATAGGATTTATCAAAAAGGAAAGTGTTAAGCCCAGTCTTAAAACTGGACAATGTGTCTTACAGACAGAAACTGGAAATTGGTTCCACAAAAGAGGAGCCTGATAACTGAAAGATCTTCCTCCCATTCTGCCTTTGGAAACTCTAGGAACCGCGAGTAAGCCTGCAGTCTGAGAGTTGGAGTAACAGTGTTACATCAATGTTGTTTAGAAGAAAAACTTAATCTCAGCAAGTGTTGGACCATAAAGAAGTCAAAAGTCATTCATTTCTTTATAGTTTGGCTCTAAGCAACAAGATTTTCTTTTAATCTTTACAGGTGGTCTTAATTAATAATTCTCCAAGATTTATGGAGGTTTTTCAAAGTTTTTCTTTGGACGTTGGCTGCTTCCCCCCTCATTTCCTGTCTAGAACGTGACCATTTCCAGAGGAATGTTTGTCTGTTTGTTTGTTAAGCCACTAAAGTAACTAAAACTCAAGGGATGAGCCAGTGTTGGAGCAAAGAACCGACTTAAAATAGGATTTCAAGGCTCTTTAGTATCACAATCTGTTCCCATTCTTTGGGTGGATCCATAAAAAATACCAAAGATAACACAGTTTGACAGACAGAAAATAGTGCCCTAGCATCAACAAGGAAACTTTTATAGAGCTTTTTGCTGACAACTTGTCAAACAACAAAGTAAGCCAGATGTATGGTATCTCTCTGATCATGTGTCAGGTCTTAGCTGGATTTCTTTCTGTTTCCTAAAAACCTTCAGATACAATTCATCAAGATTTAAAGCTGGGCTTCTGGATTTTGTCTGCTTGCCCACTTAGCTCATTTTTACAGGTAGACATGAAAACAAAGAGCAGAGTAAACAGGTTTGCTCAATTTAACAGGAGAAAACACCCTGACCAACATGCCGAAGGGTTGGTGCTGATAAACCCCCGGTTATCATTAGTTCGGTAGTGAAAGGAAGTCCTCTGGATGGAAAAGTGCACCTCCCTCCATCCCAGATACACCTCCACAGCCTGCAGGCCACTGCAGCTCTGACAGATTTTACAGCAATAACAACACCAGGAATGATCTATCTTCGAAATAATGTACAAGAGCTGTATACGATGTGCATGGCTCTTATTTTTCCACGTGTATGTAAAAGAAATCTCTGAAATTAGATCAAAATGAAGTTTCAGAGATGAGAGATTATTTGAAATACCTCCCCAAATGGGGTGGCACGGTGGCTCAGTTGGTAGAGCTGTTGCCTCTCAGCGAGAAGGTTGCCGGATAAAATGCCTGCCGGGGATCTTTCTGGGTGGAGTTTGGTGTCTCTGTGCAGGCGTGGGTTTTCTCATTGCAAGTACATAAAATTAGGGATGCACGATATTATCGGCATGTATTGGTATCAGGCAATATTAGTGTTAAAGTTCAATATCGGATATCGGCCATTCCATCAAAATAACTCACCGATATAAAATACACTGTTTTTGTATGACAACCCAGTGACAAGGATGCCTGCAGCGCCAGCACAACGTGATGACGTCACACGTGCCTACCTGATCTGATCAGGGCAGAGGGGAAGAAGCCAAAATGTCGGCGATGTGGATTTTTTTTTTTGTTGATGATGTCATATTCCGAAGATTTTTGGACTACCTTGAGCCTCGCTACATCGTTCCCAGTCGGAGATATTTTTCCGATGTAGACTTACCCGAGTTACAAGCCGTCATTTCTGACGTCATTGAGAAACTAATAGCCGATAGCACTTGGGTGAGTTTTACAACAGACACTTGGACGTCGAGTGTTAGCCTCGTTAGCATGATTAGTCTTACGGCACAATGGATAGACAAAAAATTTGAACTTAAAAAGTCTGTCCTTCATGCACAGGAGTGCAGAGGATCCCACACTGCAGCTAGGAACCTGGAACAAGCCTCCACAGGTGAGACAGCATCACACGTGACTAATGCTAATAAATAACATTTAACCCTTTTCATTTAATATAAGTTAAAGTGCTATGTATATCATATGGCTGTTACTGAATATATGTCGCCAGCTCTCACAGCTGTTACACAATTTTGTAGAAAATAAGCCTAAATAAGAGGGCTATGTTCTGGCAAAGGAAAGTATATAAAAATATCGGTATCGGTTATCGGCCAAATAAATATTAACATATCGACATATCAGATATTGGCCAAAATTCCAATATTGTGCATGACTATATAAAATTATTTAAAATATAATAACCATAAAAATAATGGGCAAAAAAGTCTACTAAGTGTTAGATGGTTCTAAGTTTCTGATAAATATTAGCTTTTATCTTTTATTAGGTTTTTTTATATATATATATATATATATGTTTCTATCAGAAGGTGCTCAGAGCAGGTGTTAGGTTTGTGAATATATGAACCAAAGTTTGGACAAAAGTCAAGTTCAAACAGAGAGAAAGAGGATGAAAATGGGGGAGGTTATTTAAAGGAAGCAGCAAGGCGAGACCGTTAGAGCCTGATGGCTTTAAAAGGTCAGAGGTCAAATTTAGGAAACACAACCCGTCTTGTTCAGAGCGATGACATGGGGAGGATTTACGTCTCTGGCTTTAGAGGAACTTCTGTCATTTTAACTTCAGACTGAGAAAGACAGTTACTGATGAAGATGACATTAAACAGTTTTGTATCATAAAACATGTTAATTAATCTTTTAAATTAGTTAAAAGGTTTAAAATACATCCATCCATCCATCTATTATCTTTACCCGTTTATTCCATTTTTGGGTCACGGAGGTCGCTGGTGCCCATGTCCAGCAATCACTGTGCGAGGGGCAGGGGACACCCTGGACGGGTCGCAAGTCCATCACAGGGCCACAGAGAGACAAACGAGACAAACAACCATTCACTCTCTCACTCACACCTAGGGACAATTTAGAGTTACCAATCAGCCTAACATGCATGTTTTTGGACTGTGGGAGGAAACCAGAGTACCCGGAGAAAACCCACGCATGCACGGAGAGAACATGCAAACTCCACCCAGAAGGCCCCTGGACCGGGGTTTGAACCAGGGACCTGTTCGCTGAGAGGCAGCACCTGTACCAGTTGCGCCACCGTGCTGCCCAGGTTTAAAATACAATTTTTCAAAAAAAGTGGCAAAAGTCCAGGAAGGATACTTTTCGTTGCACAAACTTTAAGGTTTTAACATTTGTGTAAATATTTGTTCCAAAATATAAAAGTTAACTTAATGTCAGAATTTACCGTAACTAGTTTTGTATTTTGAATTTGTTGTAATGGAAACGTTTTCTTCATTTTGATGCTTTTATACATTTTTATTTTTTTTGGACTTCTGATTTGTGTTTAGTTTTTGTCCAAACATTTTTTTTAATTTGTTCACTTAATTACATTTCTCTCTGCTCATTGGTTCGCTTTATTTCCTGCTTTATTTTCAAAGAGTTCTTCTCTTCTTCCAGTGTTGAAATTAAACGGGTTTTTGTCTTCAACTCTGCTTTATTGATCTGTCTTTCCATTTTTTGTTTACTCTGCATGCACTTTGCTTTTCTGCTCCAGTTTAGCTGCAATAATTAGTTGTTTAGGTTCATGTTTGGATTTCGCCTTACAGGATTTCTTTATTTTATTTGTCAAATCTGCCTCAGACTTTTGCAAAGAAGTTTATTTCCTTTATTAAAGCTATTTTACTCCTACATCTGTCTCCATTTGTGTCCCAAGTTCTGCTTATTCTTCTAAGGCTGTAGCAGTACAAATAAACAAATATTGTGTTTCTGAAGTTTTATTGAATTGTTTACTCATTTTCCAGCTCTATAATGAAGCAGCCTGCATAACATTATTAACAGGGTTTTTTTTCTCTCATTTCAGAAACACTGATTTTCTTCTTCTTCTTTCGGCTTTTCCCTCTTCAGGGGTCGCCACAGCGAGTCATCCTCCTCCATCTCACTCTGTCCTCACTCCAACTACCTTCATGTCCTCTCTAACTGCACCCATATATCTCCTCTTTGTCTTTTTCCTGGCAGCTGCATTTCTAACATCCTTCTACCAATATACCCATGGTCCCTCCTCTGGACATGTCCGAACCATCTCAGTCTGGCCTCTCTAACTTTATCTCCCAGTTGTTCAACCTGTAGTGTGCTGCGCCTCTGATGATCTCATTCCTAATCTTATCCAGCCTTGTCACTCCTAAGGAGAAGCTTAGCATCTTCATTTCTGCCACTTCCGGTTCTTTCTCCTGTCTTTTTGTCAGTGCCACTGTCTCCAGACCATACAATACAGATGGTCTCACCACTGTCTTGTAAACTTTTCCTTTGACCTTAGCTGACACTATTTTCTCACAAATCACTCTTGAAACTTTTCTCCATCCTCCCTGGACTCTCTTTTTCACTTCTTTACCACAGTCCCCATTTTCCTGGACAGTGGACCCCAAGTACTTGAAGTCCTGCACCTGTGAAACACTTTCAGAAACACTGATTTTCAGAGCACTTTATTGCATATCAATGCAACTTAAAAAAAATATTATTCATAATAAAAATTATATTTTACCCAGTTGAAATTTTCACTCTGCTTATCTCACCTTGTGACTTTGCAAACTCATCTTTGTGACCTCCTGCGACCTCGCTGGCAACTATAACGACAGTGCAGACCAGAGCAGTCCTCCATAGCGTTTCCATGGTTACTACAGTAGTAGCTATAGTAACAGAATTCAGTGCAGTGGTACCCGGGCCTCCGTCCCAACATGTCTCCTGCCCTCTCGGACGCCCCGTGGCCTAGCAATGGGACAGCTCAGCGCTCTGTTGGGCCATGGCTGCGGGTTGACCTGAGAACGGACTGAACCAGCAAGTGGGGATGGACGTCCTCATAGACGAAGAAAACACCTGGAGCTTTGGTTTCAAAGAGGTGGGGAGGACGATGTTAGCAGCAGTGGTGGGTTATCAGTCCTCTCTGTTCCCCTGCGGAAGAGAAAGCGTTTAGGTGGGGGAAATCTGGGAACGTGAATGGCACTGGAGACTAAACATATCCAGGGAGTGAGCATGAGATCCCACTCAACCCTGCAGCTAGGAAGACAAGTTTACCAAATTCACTTCAGTATACACAAACCTACACTTTATTCAACACTCTACCTGAAAGACTGAACAATAAAGAATCCAGTAGTTCTGTAAAAGCTTGTGCTTAAAGTTTAAACAAGCCTTGAGGTGGGTATTAAATTAGGCGCTCTGGGGTAAAATGAGCTAATTTGAGAGAAGCAGCAGTCTGCCATCACCCCCAGGCCGGCTGACTCTGTCTCGGTCGTATGGTTGAGTGACTTGCTGGCTGCCTGTGCTAATTGGGCAGCATGTTGCAAATTGATGGTATATGATTTTTTTACACCAAAAAGAAAGACTAATACAATCCCATCACTGATTCTATGCTGATAATAAGCAAGTAATATAATAAGCAATTATAATAAGTATATTATTATTAATTATTAGTAATTAATTATATTAAACACTAATTATATAATAAGCAATTCTATGACAATAATAAGCTTTAAAAAAAACAGTGTAGTACTGATTTAGACTGAGATAATCTTAGAATTGTTTGTACTTTTGGTCAAAATATGTAGAGTAATTTTCATTCAACCTTTATTGTTACCAGTTATTCTCACTGAGCCTCGAGGACTCGTTTACAAAAAAGATCTGTTTTTAAAAAAAAAAACACACAGAAGAGGTACAAACAATAATAGACAATCATATAAAAAAGCATATAAAATGAAAAGTAAAGTAGAAGAATTGAAATAAAAAGTAAACTAAACAGCAAAAACGAGACAAAAACAGCTACATTATAAAACAATGTAAAGTACTAAAAACAGGAACGTCTGTGTTGGTTTATGTCATGAAATTAGCAGTTGCTTGAAATCCCTTAGAGAGATCAAGGTCAAGAGCTTCAGATTTTTTTGCAAGGTGTTCCAGGAAACAGGAGCAGAGGCCCTTTGGCCAAGTTCGGTCTGCACTGAGGGGACACTGCAGGTAATGATGTCCTGGGAGCGCACGCTGTAGCTGTACTCATGGAGTGACATATAGGAGGAGATGTATGAAGACAACAGACTGAGAAGTGACTTCAAGATGAAAATGAACCAGTGAGAGAGTCTGTGTGAAGTTAATGATGACCAGTTAACCATTGAATACAGGGTGCAATGGTGGGTACGATAGTTACAGACAGTTATGAATATTAGTGCACCGTGATAGACAGTGTCCAACATCTGCAGGGTGCTTGTAGGGGCGTTCATGTAAATAATGTCACCGTAGTCAAAGAAGGGAAGGAAAGTCACAGTTACAAGGCGTTTCCTAGCATTCAGGGTTAGACAGGATCTATTTCTGAAAAAGAAACCCAATTTCACTTTCAGCTTCCTTACCAAGTTGTCGACATGGGGCTTAAAAGAGAGATGTGAATTGACCAAAATACAAGTTGGACACGGAACAAATCAGACTGGATGATGTCAAAAGCAGACCGTAAAACTGAAAAACCTTAGCATCTGTTCTAGCTCGACAATAAACAACTGTGTCATCAGCATAGAAATGTAAGGAATGATCTGACCTACAATACTTATGTAGCTTGTGAAAAGGGGAGGTCCTAAGACTGAACCTTGCGGTACACCATTGATAACAGTTAGACAACTGACGGAAGTACCGTTATGTTGTACACATTGTCTCTGTAATCTTCTAATCTTGTACTGTAAACTCTTGTAATCTAATGCAACATTTCATAATCTGTTAGCTCTTAGAGTTTGTGTTGTGAATGACTGTCAGCTACTACCACACTAAATTTTAGCTCAAAACCATGCAATAATTATGCATAAACAAGCAATCTTAGGATCTTTTATTCACTCGAGTGTTTGTTTTTTGTCTGAATTTTATTTTAAAACTTACAATTTGAAAGTAAAAAGTTTAGTAATTGTTTCCTGAAATGTATCATTATTCATAAAAAATATGCTCTGACATAAATGTGTACTGACCCTCGTACAAGTCTACCTGCAGTATTGTTTTAGAAATAAAGTGTTTATATCTGTGTCATTTACTAATTTGTGAATTACAGAAGAACCTTGGCATCGTTTAAAAATAAGACCGTCTGTCTGATTGCCTCCAGATGAGAATAATTTGGAGAAAACAGATCAGCCAAAAAGAGATTGTGAATTTTAGGATAATTTCATCATTTTCCACACTGCTAATTAGGCTGTCTTCTACTGTAAATCTACTCAAAGTTCCTTTCACATTGAGGATGTTTACACTTTAAGCTTTAAAACCAGCGTAGAGAAAACTCACATCACAATAACTAAAATAACTTCCTCAGAACAATGTCCAGTAGGAGGCCAGACTGGTGCCGGGGTTGACCTGATTTTCATAGGCGCCATTTCTCTTTAGTGTTCCCCAACCTAATATTGCCCCGTCAGCTAAAACCCAACTTTTGCTGTTTTCTAGTAAAGTCTTCCCAACCAGCTGACTCTTTTACCAGCCCACCTTCCCTTCCCTCACGTCCTCTGGGACGTCTGGGGAGAGGAGCGTGAGCGAAGACTCCACTGGCCCAGATGGCTGTCAGCAAACCAACTGCTGCCAAAGGTAATCAGAGGCAGATGGGAAACCTTTTGGTGACGAGAGCGAAGAGAACAAGTACCCTCCTGGAAACAGAAAATAAAGGGATAAGGCAAGTGCAAATCTTAAGGGTAGTGAAAGTAAAGCAGCAGAGGGGAAGCTTTTCAAACCAGCCAGGAGAGACTTTTTTTTGAGTGTTAATACTCTTAACTGAGTTGAAAAGAGCCTTAATGTGCCGCTCGCTGCATTTCAAGAGCAAAGGGCAGGTACAGTAAATGGGGAGTTTACTTTAAAAACACTGAGGGGTCTTTGTACTGTTGCAGCGTCCCTCATGTGTGGAAACAACTAAAAGTCTTTCTCTCATCCCCCTCCTTCTGACTTTTTCCCAGTCATTTCCTGCAAAAGCTGAATTCCCCTCCATTTTCATTACTTCTCCCCACGATTTATTGTGGCGTTATGAGACAAGCTGCTTGATATCAAATGCTTTTCTTATATTGCCATGAACTCTCCTTTTTGTTTATTTAAACTTGAGAACAAGAGGGAAGTAAAACCCCCTTAGTGCTGCACCTTGGAGCTTTTTAAGCACAAAGATTTGTAGACAACAACAACATGCGTGCACTGTCTTGCACAGACTTCCCTGTAAATTATGACCCCATTATAACCCACACAGACATGCAGCTTTATTAAGAGTGCGCTGTCTTGCAGAGGTGACGGCATTGTACATCTTCCTGCGGTCTGTTGTGCAAATCTTTCCCTCTGGGCTATATCACTTTTGTAAAACAAAAACGGATGTTTGTCATCTGGCCAAAAGAGAACTGACTCTGTTTTGCTTGGACGAGCTTCGAAAAAAGGAGCGTATAGCTGCAGCTGTGGCCAGGAGGGAAAGTAGTCTGAGCTGCAGACAAGCTGCACAGCTTCCAACGCTATCGCAGAAAAAAAACAGATGGAACTGAAGAGATTTATTGAGAGAAAGAAATTTTCCAAATAATTAAGTGGGAATTCAATATTGGGATGAATTGTTCTAGTCAGACCAAGTAAAGGCACTTATTACAAAATTAAAGTCCAGTAATAATAACTTATAAAGTAAGAACTAAAATCTGCACATTATTTTTTTCATATTAATGAGTAATGTGTCCTTTAAATGAAAATTTGCAAGCAGAAGTTGTGAATGACTGCCAAAACACTGCATGCATTTGTTTAAAAAATGACTGAAAATAGATTAATAATGGCGATGTCCACGAATGAGTTGTTTGGGATGGAGAAGTCCAACAATTTGGTACGTATTCACACTCAGATTTGTTGAGCAAAGGATGCAATCTAAATTCAAATTAACGTAAAAAAAAATAAGGTGTATTTCATCAGCTTTTCTGAAAAATGCAATCAATAGCATGAATTTGTCTGGGTTAAAGACATCCCGAGAGTTAGAATAAAATTGAAAAAACATTGAAATAGTAAACTCACTGATCTAAGAGAAGTTTCACAAAGTATGAATCCCCAATTACACGTTCTTTCTCTTTGACTTTGCGTCGCAGCAGACTCACTCCTATATTGCCACATAAACATTGTCTCCAAGATTCTACATGTTCAGTTTTGCTATATCTGTTCAGTCTACAGCACGGGTGTGCAAAGTGCGGTCCGAGGGCCATTTGCGGCCCTTGCATTGATTTTGCGCGGCCCACAACCGTCTTATAATCTAGCTGGGGGTTTTCTTCTTCTTTTCTCTTTTCGCTACTTTTCCTTTTGACTGTCTGTTTGGTTGCTATTTTGTTTTGATTTGTAAAAAAATTAATTTGTGACTGTCTGTGGTTGACGTTGTTACTCACTGTTGGCATCACTCTTCGTTAAGAAATCAGGTGTCTCTTGTAAATGAGTCCCCAAGGCTCAATGGGATTAAGCTGTCTAAATAAAGGTTGAATGAATGAACAACTGCAGTTTAAGAATGGTATCATTTTGGCCAGCAAAAGAGGTCGATGCTGAGTTTCTGCAAATTTATTGGTAATATTTTTTTATATAATGTTTAGGTTTAACAGCAAAACGGATGAAAAACAAATCTTCTCAAAATGAGCAATATTAAGCACAATACAAACCTTGGGCTATAATGTTTTTATTTTCACTTTATGGTACAAAGCACCAACAACCTTTACTGATTTCTACCAGAAAGGAGACTTTTGGATAAT